GTCTGGAAGAGCATATATATATATATATATATATATATATATATATATATATATATATATATATATATATATATATATATATATATATATATATATATATGTCGTACCTAATAGCCAGAACGCACTTCTCAGCCTACTATGCAAGGCCCAATTTGCCTAATAAGCCAAGTTTTCCTGAGTAAATATATTTTTTCTAATTGTTTTCTTATGAAATGATAAAACTACCCATTTCATTATGAATGAGGTCAATTTTTTTTATTGGAGATAAAATTAACGTAGATATATGACCGAACCTAACCAACCCTACCTAACCTAGCCTAACCTAACCTAACCTATCTTTATAGGTTAGGTTAGGTTAGGTAGCCGAAAAAGTTAGGTTAGGTAGGTTAGGTAGGTTAGGTAGTCGAAAAAACATTAATTCATGAAAACTTGGCTTATTAGGCAAATCGGGCGTTGAATAGTAGGCTGAGAAGTGCGTTCTGGCTACTAGGTACGACATATATATATATATATATATATATATATATATATATATATATATATATATATATATATATATATATATATATATAATGTACCTAGTTGCCAGAACGCACTTCTCGGCATACTATGCAACGCCCGATTTGCCTACTAGGCAGAATGATTTTTTTAATTGCAATAAATTGTTTCCAATTAGTTTATTTAAAATATTATTATTATATTATGTTAAGAACATGAATTACTGACTTAGTTACATTAGTTTAGGTTAGGTTAATATAGGTTAGGTTAGGTAGGGTTGGTTAGGTTCGGTTATATATCTACGTTAGTTTTAACCCAAATGAAAAGAACTTAACTCATACATAATGAAATGGATAGTTTTATCATTTGTTGAGAAAAAAAAATAGAAAAATATATAAATTCAGGAAAACTTGGCTTATTAGGCAAATCGGGCCTTGCATAGCAGGCTGAGAAGTGTGTTCTGGCTACTAGGTACAACACACACACACACATGCGAGGGGCCTCGTAGCCTGGTGGAGGGGCCTCGTAGCCTGGTGGATAGCGCGCAGGATTCGTAATTCTGTGGCGCGGGTTCGATTCCCGCACGAGGCAGAAACAAATGGGCAAAGTTTCTTTCACCCTAAGTGCCCCTGTTACCTAGCAGTAAATAGGTACCTGGGAGTTAGTCAGCTGTCACGGGCTGCTTCCTGGGGTGTGTGTGTGTGGTGTGGGGAAAAAAAAAAAAGAAAAGTAGTTAGTAAACAGTTGATTGACAGTTGAGAGGCGGGCCGAAAGAGCAAAGCTCAACCCCCGCAAAAACACAACTAGTAAACACACACACACACACACACATATATATATATATATATATATATATATATATATATATATATACACATACACACACATACACATATATATATATATATATATATATATATATATATATATATATATATATATATATATATATATATATATATATATAAATAAGAATCAATATCTGCATGATCTTAAGTTATAATTATAATTTATATAAAATTATATATATATACAATCATTATTAAATATTACGTATAAACATATGTTGTTAAATATGACCAAAAGTGTAAGATTAATAATTCTTAAAAATAATAAAAAAAACGAATTTAATAAAGATAAAACACGGATTAATAAAGATAAAACACGAATTTTCTCAATGTTTCTTATGTTTCTTTTTACTGTCGATGGTAATTGAAAAATCAATTCTCCAAAATTCATTTTTATTTCTAGTCTGACGCGACGCTTGAACGCCTTTCATAATAACTTATTACATTTTCAATGACTTTAGTTTTACACACACACAACTGTAACCTGAAAACAGAGTTTTGCTATGCTAACGTTTTAAACAGTTTGTCTTATATACTCGCATTTGGGTGAGGTGATATGTTGCAACAGTTTTGGATGAGGTGAACAAACTTTCAACACAAGACAGAACACGGAGCAATGGGCATTAATTGGATAAATGAGAGGGAAGAATGGAAGTAACTGCAAAAAGCCTATTGGCCCATATATCCTCTTGATGCTTCTATATTGGTGCGGAGTCTTGAAGTGGGTAGAATATAGTTTTGCATTAATTGGCTGTTGATTGCTGGTGTTGACTTATTGATGTGTAGTGCCTCGCAGATGTCAAGCCGCCTGTTATCGCTGTATCTATCGATGATTTCTGTGTTGTTTGTTAAGACTTCTCTGGTTGTGGGAAGAGATTATATGTTCCTTAATAGAGCCAAGTTGCTTATGCATTGTTAATCGCCTGGAAAGAGATCTTGTTGTCTTGCCTATATACTGAGTTCTTTGGGGCGTACAGTCCCCAAGTGGGCATTTGAAGGCATAGACGACGTTGGTCTCTTTTTAAGGCGTTCTGCTTTGTGTCTGGAGAGTTTTTCATGAGTAGGTTGGCCGTTTTTTTGGTTTTATAGTAAATCGTTAATTTTATCTTCTGATTTTTGTCTGTAGGCATAACGTTCCTATTAACAATATCTTTCAGGACCCTTTCCTCCGTTTTATGAAAAGAAAAGAATGTGGAAAAGAAGTTCCTGTAAAATAGTCTAATACGAGGTACAGGTGTTGTGTTAGTTGACTGTTAAGAGGTTGCATGTCATTTCACT